GTAGTGATTGGGGGGCTTCCAGGGACACCTTGCTGCAGGTTTACAGGGGTGTGATTAGATCGTCCTTGGACTATGGCTGTCTAATGTATGGATCTGCGGCACCTACTACCCTGAAGCTGCTCGATGTGCTGCAGGCAGCTGCCTTGTGGGTGTGAAGTGGGGCGTTTCGGTCTACCCCTGCGGCCGCCCTCCTCGTTGAGGTGGGTGAAATGCCATTGGAGATCCGTCGCATTAAACTGGGGATACGCTCTCTGATGAAGGTCAAGGGTATGGTTGCGGATAGCCCGTGTTCTGAGCTGTTGGTCGGTCACTGGGAGTTTGAAAAGGGGGGAGGGTGTGTAGGAAAGGCCACCAGGTGGCACACTTGCGGGCTCACGCTCTGAAGCTTGGTTTATGCTTGACGCATTCACTTTCCGCGCGGTGATGCGGCTCGCGGATGGAACGCGCTTCACAACTCGCAGCGTTTATGGTTCGTCCGTCTCGTCTCTGCGGTGAGCCAATATTCTCCCAAAGTGAACGGGGCAGCATGGAGCTCTACGGCATGCATCCAACACTACACCATAGTAGAAGTAGAAATTACTGTTTACAACATGGCATTCCAGCATTTTTAACAGCGTCCTCGTCTTTTCCGACAGTGTGAGCTGTTTCTCTCCAAGAATTATTAACAACATGTTGATCACGGTGATCTCTGAGAGCTGAATCATACAAATGTCTGTATTTACCAACCTCTGCCGTACTAGTTCTTGCCGGTCCGCCATGTTTTTCCGCGTCCGTCGTCCGCGTGGTTAGAAAATTTCCGAGGTGCGCGTTGCGGAAATTCTGGGCCGTGCGGAGACGCGGTGGAGGGGCGTGGTTGTTAAAATGACGCAACTTTTCCGCACGGAGCCGTGCGGACCTCGCGGACGCATCAAGTATAAATCAACCTTCACTCTCTCAGAGCTGAGATGATGACAGATCAGACGACAGTGCAGAGGAGACCACTGAGCAGAGCAGGTGGAGAAGCACATGAGACAGCAGAGTGGAGGAGAGCTTTTTACTCAGCTAGTTCCCAGTTTAAGTCAACTTTGTGTGCGTGAATGACTACTAAGTAAGTAATCATTTGTTTACTGGACCTGCTTACATAATGTGTTAGGAATACGTTTGTTTGCCTCGTGGTGTTTTGGAATGTTCTCATGTCATAGTTATGCTTGATAGTTCTGTCATGAATCTGCACTGCCTCATTGTACGAGAGTGTAGGTCCCTGTTGCCTATTTTATGCATGTGTGTCGGTTGCAGAGTTGGATGTGAGGTGGTTTATAGCTGTAAAAGTGGGTAATTTGGCTTAGAATCTCAGAATATTTGAGTGTTGGTAAATCCCGGAAATGGCCACTAGATGTCGTCCTTGTGACATGTCTGCCCTGGCAGTTTACCCAGAGGGTTTTTAGCTGGTGTGGCCATGTGGACTGGGTTGTCCCGACCAGACCAAGGTGATCTGGACCTGCTGATTATTATTTTATTTTCTGCTTAGAGGGTTTTTCTCCTACTATGTTGTTGTGTTAGTTTGAACAAATGGGGCAGAATATAGTTTATGTTAATCTGTTCTTCCTGTATTATTCTTTCCTTTAGACCACACTCACCTAGCAACATCCCTGTTAACTCTGGGTAATTCTTAATGAGTTGCATACTCATTGCTCAGCCCTGCATCAATGTTCTGCGTGCCCCTATGCATTGCTGTTGCTACTGCTTTTCACCTGAGAATAAAGAGGCCAAGGTGAAATGAAGCCTGAACCTGTGTTCTTACCGACACCCCAGGAAGACACCTTTAACTCCCTCCCTGATACAGTCCATCTACCTACTAACAGCCAGTCTAACAGGGTGGCTAGGGGTGGATTTCCTGAACGGCTGAGGAATCAGACGGTGGGGCGGGGCTTCCTCAACTGGTCGGTTCGCTTCCATTTGGTGTGGCCTGAGGTTTCGCTCTGGCTACTGCCACTGGGTGGCAGGGGGGCGGGGCCTTTTATGGATTTTATGAGGGTGGAGTGGGGTTCATTCTTGCACCTCTATACTGACGGCTCCAAGAATCCTGAGAGTGGTAGAGTGGCAGTGGGGTTGGGTGTCCCTCTTTTGGGGTTTGGTTTGGGTCGTTGCATAACAGACTATTGTTCTGTATTTGCAGCAGAGTTGGTTGCGATACTGTGGGCCTTGCAGTGGGTGGCGGAACATCGGCTGACGAAATCTGATTTGCTCTGACTCTGCTGCTGCTCTTGAGGCGTTGGTCTGGGCCTGACTTACTGGTTAGGATCAGGTTGATGTTGCACAAAGTAGTTGCTTTGAGGTGTGGCGTTTGTGTTGTGTGGGTTCCTGCTCATGTGGGGGTGGAGGGTAATGAGAGGGCCCACACTTTGGCTAAGGGAGCGCTGTCGAGGTGTGTGGTGGATGTGGAGGTGGGGTTGGGAGCGTGTGAGTGTCGCTCGGCAGTGGGTCGGATGGCGTTTGACCTGTGGCAGACCTAGTGGGATGTTGGGGTTACTGGGAGGGCTTTTTATGATCTGCAGCGTCGCGTGGGGGTTTCTGGGGTTGGCCATCCTAGCGGGAAGAGAGACTCTGTGGTGTTGACGAGGCTGAGGTTGGGCCATAGCTGTCTGCGGAGAGGTCTCCTGATAGTGGCGAAGCACCCTGATGGTTTGTGCCAATGTGGGGTGCCGGAAACAGTAAAACGTGTTTTGCTGGAATGTCCCAATTGCTCTGTCGAGAGGAGGGCCCTGTTAGGGTTTTTGGGTTCTGTGGGGGGTGGAGGTTTTAGTTTGCGAAACTTGTTGAGGGTGGAGGATGGGTGGTGTGTGGGCGTGCTGATGGCTTTCTTGGGTCAGGTTGGTGTATAATGTGAGGGTGTGAACGCCGTTGGGTAAACCGTAGGTTGTTGTGGCAGCAATAAGCCGAATAGGCGTCTAGTCTGCCTTAGAACTACTGAAGAAGAAGAAGAAGAAGAAGAAGAAGAAGAAGAAGACAGACACTGTTTCTGGGGTGGACGTGGTGGTTTCCGAGTCGAGGTCTGGTTGTGTGATTATGGGTGTGGTGTACAGCATTTCCAACGAGGTCTCTGAGTCTGAGGTGTTTGGTTCCCTGAGTGGGGCGGTGGTGGTGGCTGTTTGGCTTCTGGGGTTTAATGCACATGGGTCCACTCCACTGCTGATTACTTTCGAAGGGGTGGAGCTTCCTGCTCGTGTCCAATTGGGCTTCCTAAGTTTCGCTGCGAGGGCGTACGAGGAACCTCCTCTGAGGTGTTTTAGGTGTCAGGGATATGGTCATGTGGCCGGTGCCTGTGTGGTGGGGTGCGTTGTCGGAGGTGCGGGGGTGACCATGACTGCAAGAGTTGCGATTTACTGCTCTGACGTTGTAATTGTGGTGGGGACCATCAAGCGGCTTATAGGGGCTGTGTGGCGTACAGGGTGGCGGTGGAGGTGGGGAAGGTTCAGGCTGAGCATAAGGTGTCATATGCTGAGGCAGTGTGTCGTGGGGGTGCGGAATAGTGGTGCATCCGGGCCTTGTAATGTGCCTTTGTCAACTGGTGGTGGGGATGTGGGGGCGGGTGTGGTAGTTGTGAAGGATAAAAGGAAGTTTTTGGCGTTTCTGGTTGAGGCCTTGTGGAGGGTGAAGTATGGAGCGTCCAACAAGTCCGATGTAGCTCGTGAGGTGACAGCAGTGGCGGGGGTTTTCTGACGTGTCCCCCGAGGAGGTTTGGGGTGCAACGTGTTTGCGGGATGTTGGGGGTTCTTGGTCTGCTGAGGATTGTGGGACGCCCTTGGTGGTGGGTGTAGATGGTGGGGCTGGGAGTGTGAGTATGGGGTGAACCTCCATGTGGGGTTGTGTGTTTTCACTGGGGTGTGAACGGGTGGTGGGTTTTTGTTGGTGGTGGTTGTGTGGGAACACGGGGTGGGATGGTACTCGTGCCTGTTGTGTGCAGTGGGTTGTGCTGGCTCAGTGTGTTGGCTGGTGTGGCAGCAATACGCTTTATAGGTGTCTAGCCTGCCTAATTTCAAAGAAGAAGAAGAGACACACGGGTGTTTAAAAGGGCAACATGGAGGTCCCTGAGGATCAGGGTTGGGAAACACTGGTTTAGACTGTACAGTTACCCACTGTATATACGTATTTGTCTTGCTTTTATCAACTATTTTCAGCTTGAATAAATTGAAGAGTTCCTTTGTGAGCAGCGGAAACACTTCCTTTATTTGGTTCAACATAAAATCACCCATGCTGCTTTAATGTAAGTGGATACAAACCAACATTTCATCAAAGTCTGAAATCTCTAAGCTCCTCTGTATACCACTAGCTAGAAAACTGGCTGCTCCTTTTGAAACCTAAAAACATTTAAAAAGAAAACAAAAATGTGTCACCACAGAATATCCCACTGATTGTTCCTACATCAGGTATAGACAACAGAGTAGCTTATGAGAACAACTCTGAGGCCTGGCTGAAGTGGCTGAGTCTTAATTTCCACTAATGATGGTGATGCATCCTTTTCAGCAGTTTTAGTAACTTTGTGGTTGGATGGTCCTCACTTGGAGAAGCCCTCTGTAACGTGTAGAGAAGTGCGTCGTCGGCAATTAAACGCAAGTTGGCACTCCTGTAATAAATAAATAAATAATAATAATAATAATAATAATAATAATAATAATAACAATAATAATAGAGACCATTTGGTCAGTGAAGAAAAGTTCGTACAGCTGTTTTAAACCTTTGACAGTTTCAAAAAAAGAAAAAGAAACTTTTCCGGCATACGACACGTTCATTCAAAATAAAAGTCGTCTGACTCTAACGAGAATGTTCAGAAACGTTAAACTGAGATTAATGTTGTAAGGACTTGTGCATCAGACGGAGACAGACAACTATTAATTTAATCGTGATGCAAGATAAAAGTGTCAGTAAAGTGGCGATGATCGATTAATTTAAAATGACTTGACTTGAAGTGGCTTATTTTTGGTGTACTTTTACTTTGAAAAAAGGTTGATCGACGGGTTTCCGTATCCTCTTATCTGAAATCTGATAGGCTGCTGCGGCTTTGCTGCTGATGTGGGTTTTTTAAGTTAGCTTGTCGCTTCTCCGTTGCTTTAACCCCACATTCTGATCTAACTCTGTACGTTTGGGGAAATAATGCCTTACTATCAGGTCTGGGAGGAGTTCGCTCGCGCGGCAGAAAAACTCTACCTGGCAGATCCGATGAAGGTGAGTTCGTGTGTTTTAGCACACGGAGCTAGCTTGTTAGCCACATGATGGTGTTGGTTCTGAGCGTCATGCCAGAATTCCTGAACGCGTTTTTGTTGTTTTTGCAGGTCAGAGTGGTCCTGAAGTATCGACACTGCGACGGTAACCTGTGCATCAAAGTCACCGACAACGCTGTGGTGAGACAAACGAAGGAAACAGAACGATGTTCTGCTGTTTGTGTCAGGTTTACCCCAGCGTCCACCTTGTGTTGATTTAAAGTTCAGCAGACGAAGTAAAGCGACTCCACTCCTAGAGATGCAGCGCTTCAATAAGGGTGACAGGAGGAAAACGTCGGTTAAGTGTTGTAACCCCATATTCTAGTTTAGCCCTTTAAAGCGACGCCTATTGGATAATCCCTTCCTTATCCAATCACTGAAGAGCTTTCATGTACGCCAGCCCGCCTATGGTGGGTCCCATCCTGATCCTATAAAAGGTCAGTGACCACAAAACGTAAAGCCTGACTCATGCTTAAGCAAATGCACATTTGCGCCCCCTGCTGCTGCGTCGTATCCATCGACATATATATACTGGACAATTCATTTCCATAGGCTCCAATAACATGTTTTTGAGGCTAAATGGGAGGTGGCCACCACCGCCATCTTGACCGTGTCACTTGTTCAGTCAAGCCCCGACAATTCCACAAAAGGGAAGAGAGGAGGAGCTGAGGGTGGGGCTGTAAGGCTGGGATCAACTGACGACACCCGGTCGAACTAGCTACAAGCTAACCTGAAGCTAACCCAAAGCTAACGCGGAGGTGGGAGCTAAGCTAACGGAGGTAGCAACCTAGCTACAACCGGAGTTAACTGTGCACAACACCAGAGCTTCTGAGTCAGAGATACGCCGGGCTGACCGCTGGGGAGAACCGGGTGGAACACAGAGGTCTCCGAGAGCTCCACAAGCCGATAGTGGGAACCCAGCTCCACCAACATGTTATATTTCAACCCATTTTCTAAAGTGCAGCATTATGTTAAATGCACTGGGTTTTACCCTATTACATTTAAATTTCATGGTTAAACAGTACATGTTAAAATCTAAGCTCAGCTCGGCAGTGACCTAAAATACATAAATATAATTTTACTTACCGAAAAAAATGAAGTGGAGACTCCTTGGACGCTCTATTAGTGCAATTAATGCCACAGCAAGTCATTTTGTCCAACAATTGCACAAATAATATCCAAACAAGAATACACAAACACAGAGACTCAAAATCCCGGAGCAGTTTCCAGGCCAGACCGAGGCTCTACTGAGGCCTTTCCCCGGAGCTAGCTCTGTGGTCACGTGGGTCTGATGCTCATTAATTATACAGAATTTTAGGCTTTTAATACACTTAAACAGAAGAGTGAGAAAAACATTCACCCCCCTCAGAGTTGTCATGAGTGTAAACTAGATCATTTAAACCAAAAACATGTTCTGGTACCAGGCTGTAAACATGTTTATTTCTGCTGTGAAATTGGTATTTTTAACATGGGAGTCAATGAGGATTTGCTCGCTTCTGACACCAGCCCCTAGTGGATGAGGGTGGAACTGTAATTTTTGGTACCTCCGGGTTTGACTCCATTTTTGAGCCACATGGTGGGGGCTTGGTCGTATCTCCTCTAATCATACTGGCCCGACCCTGTTGCAAAGAAATTCTCCGCCAAAACAACAGATTTTGTCTTTGGCTTTCTTTATGTTTTTGAGGGGCCAATGGCGGCGCTGTTGACGACAGCGACATGCTGACTAATCGCAAGCTTGCGTTCTCTGTCTCGTTGGATGGATGTTTAGGGAAGTGGGCTCGACTCCGTCTGTCCTTGTGAGCCTGCTGGTAAACCCCTGCGTGGACGGACAGTGGCGTTGCGTGTGTCTGCGGCGAGAGATGCACACGATGTTTTGCTTTCAGACTCCTCCATCAGCTGAGGATTGTTGCAAAGCAATTCCCCTCCAGGACAGCAGAGGGCGTACCACTATTCTGAGGTATCCTGCCACCATTAGTCACATTTCCGGTCCATGATGGTGTACTTACTGTTGTGTTTACATTGTTATATTTCAGAGATTTTGTCCCTCAGTCCTCTCCACCTGTTCATACAGTCGGGGCCTCTAAACTCGCGGTTCTTGTCTTCTCCGTCTACAAATAAAACACCCGTTGCATATTTTTGTACTCCTTCAGTCGCGGGCGAATAAACGCGCATATTTTTTTCCGCGATGCGTTTTTCAATCTTATCCGTGTCTGCCACTAAATATCTTTAATTTTTGAAGCCACAATGACTGTGCTGTTGATGAAGTGACAGCGTCCTCCTGACCAATCACAAGCTTGCGTTCTTTGTCTCTTTCAACAGACACTCTAGGCTCTAGGGCATGTTGATGATCTTTCACCATCGGTGACGGTTTGTTTCTGTTTTCAGTGTTTGCAGTACAAAACAGACCAGGCTCAGGACGTGAAGAAGATCGAGAAGCTGCATGGGAAACTGATGAGACTTATGGTGTCCAAGGAGACGCACAGCGGTGCCATGGAGACTGACTGAGAGGCTCTGGAGCTCCTGGACTGAGCTCAGTGGGCACGGTGCATTTCAGAAGCACCAGGATGAGGTGGGATGGTGGTGGTACCGAGGAGGACACGTGGGGACATATGTCCGTCTACACCGATGGAAGACGTGTCTTCATTACTGTTTGTTTTCTTCCCTATTTTAAAAAAATTGCAACGCTAACTGATTTTCTGTTCTGAAGGGTGTTGAGGAGCCCCCCCACACACACACATCCACACTCAGCCACTGAGAATGAGGAGAATATGTGGAATAAAAGTTTATTTTCTCTGGTACAACAGACCCGATTCTTGTGTTCACCGGGGCGAGTTAAGCTTGCTTTACGCTTGATGCGTCCGCGAGGTTCGCACGGCTCAGCGCGGCAAAATTACTTAATTTTAACAACCACGCGCCTCCGCACAGCCCAAACTTTCCGCACCGCGCACCTAGGAAATTTTCCAACCACGCGGACGGTCGAACACGGAAAAACATGGCGGTCTGGCGAGAAGTAGTATGGCAGAGGGTCGTAAATACAGACATTTGTATGATTCAGCTCTCAGAGATCACCGTGATCAACATGTTGTAAATAATTCTTGGAGAGAAATAGCTCGCACTGTCGGAAAAGACGAGGACGCTGTTAAAAATGCTGGAAAAACACGAGGGACCGATGTGTGAAGCCAAGGAAGGGGAACAAACGGAAAAGCGGTGATCCCGGTGGAAACAAGAACACTCCGCCAATTCTAAAAGAGCGGAGTTGGCTCTCAACTTTCATTAACAACTATTATAAACAACAGTCATTTCTACTTCTATGGTGTAGTGTTGGATGCATGCCGTAGAGCTCCATGCTGCCCCCTACAGTTTGGGAGAATATTGGCTCACCGCAGAGACGAGCCGCATGAACCATAAACGCTGCGAGTTGTGAAGCGCGTTCCATCCGCGAGCCGCATCACCAAGCGGAAAGTGAATGTGTCAAGCATAAACCAAGCTGAACACACACACACACACCCACACACACACACACACACACACCCACCCACCTCAAGAGCTCTTATGTTGGTCCAGCTCCATTATGCTCCTGACGCTGGGACAGATCCACATCCAGCCAGGAGCAGTGCGGAGCCGCATGGGGCCAGAGTCCAACTGAAGTCTACAGGTAACGGCTATAACTGGAATGTGTTGCAGCTTCTCCACAGCCGCCGAGCAGGTAAACCTCACTCGTCAGGATCGTTTTCTTCTACTGTCAGGACACGGAAGTGTTCACAGGGAAAGAAGGAGCTCTGTCTGAGGGAACAGTTTGATTTCAGTTCATGTAAAATATTATTCATATACATTATGAAGGATAATTACCAGGATGCAGGAAACTGCGTCACCTTCATTAAGATTTTCTTGTGGGGGAGGATCTTCACCAGGAAGCTGTAACTGCTAAGGAAGCACTGAGAGAAGATGCGTTCCCTCCAGAGTTCGTGCATGCTGCATGCATCTTGTATAGATCCTAACACCAGTTATGTGATTCAGCTTTTTCTCCACTGACATGATTACTTACTGGGTACACATTAGATGAGGAACATGCGTCGATGACTGAGACCTTCACTAAAAAGATTCACCAGGAACAAAACATTTAGGATTTTTTTATTTTTTTGCACAAGATGGCCGCACTAACTGGGAAACACAGCTGTACACTACTTTCAGACACAATGCCGCTCATTGTGTGTGCAGACTGCTTTGGGTCATGCCATAAACTAAACCGCTTATGTTGAGTCGCATCAGAAAACATTCCTGACTCGGTTCCAGGAGCCCCATGTTACGTCTGGACTCAATCCTGTCAAGGTCCTGGCCCCCAAACTCCAGATGGATCAGTTATGAAATGTTCTCAGCCCTACTCCCAGTCTGGCATGTGCACGTTAGTAAAGTAATGGGTTAGTGGACATGCTGGGAAACCGTGATGATCCACCGTAGACTTATGATCAAGCATTAATACGTCCATGTGCTGCTGCTTCATGAGAGGAAATGGAACCAGGAGCAGAAGTCCTTATGAATTATACTCGGATAAGTTTAATCCATAACACATTTTTTCTCCATTAATCATGCTTTGTTCAGTTGAATTCGGTTCATTTATATTCTGTAGGTACAGAAAGTAATCAGACCTCCGTGGATTTTTCCACTCTTTCTTAAACAGCAGCCATTTGCTATGTAGAGAATTAAACACTGGAATCAACTCTGTTGGAGATTCCGAAAAATGACCAATCAGATTAACCTATGAGGCTTAGATCATGTATAAATATCCCGGATACTTATTTGAAATAACAGGGAGTCGTAGTAGTAGTGGTACAAGAAAGTAGTAGAGTGTGGAAAGTGGTCAGTGCGTCCTCCAGCAGTCTAAGCCTATAGCAGCATAACTACAGAGAGAACTCTGGATAATCTATCCTATTTAGATGTAGGCATGTTGGAGGCAGGGCAAGGGAGAGCCGTCTTTACCGACTGTACACTCCACCTCCCTCTACTCCCCCACTTGTCCAGATCTAGGCTAACGTCAGATTTTAACCATAGGCCCTATCAAATAAAAATGTTTTGATGCTATTGTAGCTGTCAGTTGTTTATTTCAAACACTTTGAAGAATTTCCAGCTGGGGGCACTGTTGTCTAATCAGTAGCTGACTGATCCTGTGTGAAACCAGAAGTTGCTCATTAGTTCATAGGAAACACGGCTGTGTTGGCAAAGAAAGACTTTCTGCAAGGAAACACGCCCTGGCTGAGCTAGGAGAGGGAACTTTGCCTCAAACAAACCATCAGAATGGAGGTACATGTTTAAGAAATGTTTGGACATTAATATTGAGTTTATTTTGACCGTGCACTGATGTGTGTTGGCTGGTTTGTGTGCCCAGCCCGGAGATTCTGTGTTGTGTGACACAGCATCCCAATAGCATCTGATATTTGCAGCCCCTGGGAAAGCGGCGCGAGGTACATGATTTACTGCTCCTGTGATTAAGATGTGTTATTTTTTGTTTTTGGGTTGCCGTAACCATTGTTCATTTAACCGTTTGTACCGTTTTCACGGTCTGATGGTTGACCTCATCAACAGAAGTAATTTCAGTTGAACAGAAATAAAATCTCTGCACCAGTCGAGGCTCTCTCATCGCTTTTCCCTTCCTTCAATCCCGGGACTGCTACACCTAGTCTTAAAAGTAGACAAGGTGTCTGCCTCACGGACTAAAGCTGGGAGCTGGTTCCACAAGAGAGGAGCCTGATAACTAAAAGATCTGCCTCCCATCCTAATTTTAGATATTCTGGGAACCACCAGTAAACCTGCAGTCTGAGAGCGAAGTGCTCGGTTAGGAACGTGTGGAACAATCAGGTCACTGATGCATGATGGAGCTTGATTATTAAGAGCTTTATATGTGAGAAGAAGGATCTTAAAATCTATTCTGAATTTAGATATTGGTCTATAATTCATTGGGTCATCTGGATCCAGAGGAGGTTTCTTAAGTAGAGGTTTGATTACAGCAACCTTAAAGTCCTTCGGGTCAGTCCTCCTCCAGGAGGGGGTCGTCCCATTCAGGTCAACGCCGCCCTCGCCCTGACCATTATTCATCGAGCCGCGACCATGCTGGCAACAACCCTTCTGCTCCAAGGTCACGAGCTGGGTCCAGTAGCATGTCTCTTTATGACCTGTGCTCCATTCTGAGATCTGTCCATTGTGATTAGGTGGGCGCCACGCCAAGGGATAAGGACCTTCTGCTCATCTCTTCTGCAGCCCAGAGCGCATGACCTCCTCCACCTACAGCTCCTCCTGACTTCATGATATCTGACACGGCTAAGCCTTCTTTGCAGCCTTCTCTACAGCGGCCGTATGACCCCGGTGCTGGAGAACTAGCGTTCCTCATCAACTTACCGATCGCATCCCTGAAGGACATCTACCAACTGAAGGACTTGGTAACTGGGTGGATGGATCACATCAGGTTGCAAACGCAGCATGTGGACCCCATTTCTGCGGGACAAGACGGCAAGCTTCTGTGGTATTTGGGGTGATGAGGAAGGGTTCTAAATGTCCTATAACAGTCACCCCCCCCCTCCCCCGATTACACGTCATACACAGTGTTGGTCTGCGCTGGTTGGTCAACACACCTGACGATTCACGACTCATTGGTCTGCATTGGTGAGGTCTCTCTGTACTACTTATACCCTGCTGACTACGAGGCTACTGTAGAGCTGTCTCCTTTCTATGACAACATCTCCTTTGCTCTGTCCTCTGTGACTTGTCCCTGGACCTCTTCCGACTCTGTTCCCTTCCCAATGTTTAAACTGCTGTATGTCACTCGGACTGGCGTACGCACACTTCTGTCACTTCTTGACCTCGTTCTGTGGTTTGGAGAGACGACTGGACAGCGTTCTGGAGCACAGGGTCCCCTTCGTTCCTCCAGGGCATCCACCTTCACCTTGAGTGCAGAACTCGGGATCTCCCTCATTCTCTGTTCTGTGGCTCAAGTTATGCAAGTTCTCAGTTTTGAATGCATTGGAGTGCGCCTGGATGTAATTCATGTCCTGGTCTACTAGTTAGGATTACAAACAGACTCGGTTGGCTTTGATAATGATGATGATGATACTGTGGGCTTCTGGAAATCGGAGGTGACGCACGTTTATCGCCGCTAAAAGCTGTTAAAACTAAGAAAAATTGTTCTTTTAATTTTTATACAAATTTTACTCATTTTTGTACTTTTTATAGTTTTATATAACCATTTAGTCTAACTTTAGTGGAACATGCACATATCCGTAGTGATTAACACTAACGTTAATTAGGCATCTTACACGTTTTTGATCATTTTCCCTATAACTTTTCATTTTTTATTAGTACTTTGATTTACAACATGTACCACATTTAATCCATATTTTTATGGAATTTTACTTTTTATTGAATACTTTTATATTTTATGGATAATCCACTTACAAACAATACAACCTTCAAACAAGGCACTGCACTGAGAGACACAGGATAAATACAGCAACTTAAAATGCAAAGCAAAAGAAAAAAATCGCGTAAGCATTCTATAAACGAAGTAACGACGAAACAACATCTGGAAATGAAGATAAAATCACTAAGAATCAATTAAAATGACTAGAGAACAGTAAAGCCACAAACTCTAACAATGACACTTGCATGGGTATGATGCTGTAAAACGGTGAGTATTCAGTTTGGCGTTTAAAGCCTCAGTCGAGCAGGCCCGTTTAACATCAATTGGATGCACGTTTCAAAGAAGCGGTGCAAGATGGTGCCGTTACGTAAACCCCTTCAGTACATCACAGAAATGTCACCTGAAGGTATAGGGAGCCTAAGGCCTAGTCCACACGTAGCCGTTTTTTTTTTAAAAACGAATATCCGCCCCTCCAAAAACTTGCATCCACACCACCTCGTTTTAAAACACAACTCTGTCCACACGTACCCGGATAAATACGTTGTTAAGGACATGCCAGACCTGTAGGCGGCAGTACTTCCCCCGTTCTTAACCTCGTCCTTCGTCTGTGGTCTTCCGCAAGGAGCAGTAATTCCTCTTGCAAAAACAAACAAGCAGAAAGCGCTTGAACGATTGATAAAGCGAGCGCAGCTCTGAGGGCATCCATGCTGTCGGCTAGTGTAAACACAGGTCGCACACGTGATATCAGCATTTTTTGTCGCGGAAAGTGACGTTGCGGACCTTAAAACTCCGGTTTTGTCTGTCCACACGCAGACACCCAAAACGGAGAAAACGCAGATCTTCACTTTGGCCGGAGTTTTTAAAAAGATCCGTTTTCGTGTGAAAAAACTCCGTTTTCGTGTGGATGACAGGCCAAAACGTAGAAAAATATCTACGTTTTGCAGATCCCCGGCTACGTGTGGACAGGGCCTTAGACTCCTCCCCTTCCGGTCGGCTCACGGGTCCCCGGAAGAACGAAAAAATGAATGCAAGTCAACGGGGCTAAAACGCTATTTTCTAACCCGCCTTGCCTCACGCCCTGGATCACACATATGTTGTACTGTAATTTATATAAAAAGTAAGGATGGGTGTTTCGACCCCGCCAGTCACGTACTTTGAGATTTATCAGCTTGTAAAGGTTAGTAATTAGCATGACTACACGCCAGATCTCCTCCCCCCCTAGCGTAGCTGCTACTCATCACATGACCAGATGTATGGTGGTTCCTTCCTCCTGTGGGAAGTTTGCTGAACTTACAGCCATTTTCCCTCAGTTTCCTCCGTGTCTGGTTCGATGACGTCACATTCACGAAGCACATTTGTAGTCCTGGACTCATTTTCACACAAAACCTAAAATAATGTCCCCCGTTCAAAAATAAACACTTTCTTGGTATCAAAATGCGTCTTTAAAATTCACGGACATCGTACGTGAAATCCACGGCACAAAACAAGCGGAATTAGAAAATAGCGTTTTAGCCCCGTTGACTTGTGTTCATGTTGTCGTTCTTTCGGGGACCCGTGGTCCGGAAGTAGGTGGGCGTGAATTAGGCTCCCTATAGGGATCCTCCCTCTCGGCCACTGGGGAGAGCTCCAACAGAGACTTTTCCAAATCAAAACATGATGGCAAAACCATTGGCATGATCCCTCTGAGTGACTGGGTTTGCTGGTGTTGGATTGAGAAGAGCAGAGTGGTGCCTGGCAGGCAGCTGGTTACAATGCTGCTCTTCTTCTCCAGGGCGCTGTCCACTCGTCTTCTAGTGGGCGACTGTGGCACAGGAGTTAAGCGCTCACCCCGCAATCGAAAAGTTGCAGGTTCGAGCCCCGCTCAGTCTGTCGCTGTCGTTGTGTCCTTGGGCAAGACACTTAACCCACCCTGCCTGCTGGTGGTGGTCGGAGGGACCGGTGGCGCCAGTGCTCGGCAGCCTCGCCTCTGTCAGTGCGCCCCAGGGCAGCTGTGGCTACATCGTAGCTCATCCCCATCAGTGTGTGAATGTGTGTGTGAATGGGTGAATGACTGTGTTGTAAAGCGCCTTGGGGGGTTCCAGGACTCTAGAAGGCGCTATATCAAAAACAGACCATTTACCACTCTTGCATAGCAGCATTGGTCACATTTCATGACTATTTATAGATACAGAAAATAGAACCAATCCCCTCACATGTCTGTAGAGTATGTGATGAATGAATGATTCTCTGGTAACTGTTATAATACTATAATATGCTACAATAATGCAGTTTCTTTATTGATTCTTGTCCTTATTACAGTTGCTGCCATCTGCAAAGACATGATGCTGATATTAGTGCTGGTTGCTCTGATTGCTGGAGGACTGATAACCTTCCTGCTTCAGAGGAGTGGAGACCAGGTTCTGAAGACTGAGGATGGCTGGTGGGGGGCCGGAGACCACTGTGAAACTCAGGAAGACGTGACTATCTGGCCCTTTGAAGTTACCACCAGTGATGAAGAGCTTGAGGTTTGTTTCCATTGATGGTTAATCCCAAAACACCATGTTCTTCTGACTCAGCAATTGTTCTATACTTCTCTCAGGATTTGTACCGAAGGATAGACCAGACGCGTCCAGTCCTCTCACTGGAGAATAGCCAGTTTCATTATGGCTTCAACTCCCACTACTTGAAGAAGGTTGTCTCTTACTGGAGACATGATTTTGACTGGAGGAGACAAGTGACCAGACTGAACCAGTACCCCCATTTTAAAACCAGGATTGAAGGTGGGAGTGCTTGGCTGATGCACTCTCTAAAATCTCACTGAAATGGTAATCGGGGTTCGGTGTCAACTGAGATAATAATCTCAAACAATTTACAAAAACTTAAATCAAGTACAAAAATGTACTGGGTAAAAAATTGAAAATAACATAAGAAATGTAGATCAACAGATTTACCACTGTACCAGCCTACCTCTACACAGATGGTTGGCATAGTTCCTATAGAAAGTATTCCACCATTAAAACTGCATCTAAACATGCTAGCGCCTCAGGAACATGACACGGCTAAAGCCTGGTTCATGCTTCTCCGTCAGCTCCGCAAGGGACAGACACGCACGGATTGACGGAAGCGTGTTGCTCTCATACTTCTCCGTCTCCTGGAGAGTGTTGCAAAGCAATTGCCCGGCAGGACAGCAGAGGGCGTAGCGCTGTTCTGTGGTATCCTGTCATGTATCGGTCCAAGATAGTGTGTTTATATTGTGTTTTTTGTGTATATAAGAGACTTTTAACACGGACATATTTGTCTCTCATTCTCCTCCACCTCTTCATGCGCTCCCCACCTCTAAACCCACGTTTCCTGTCATTTCCGTCCACAAATAAAACGCTTGCTGCACATCTTTTCACTCCTCCAGTCACGGGAGGATGAAACGTTCATATTTTTAGAGTTTTGTCGCGAGGTATTCTTCAAGCTTCTCCGAGTCTGCCGCTAGTTAAACTCTGCTCTCTTTGCAATGGCGGCGCTGTAAACAACAGCGGCGTCCTGACCAATCACAAGCTTGCGTAATCCGTCTCGTTCGACGGATGTTTAAAAAAGTAGGCTCGACTCCGTACGTACTTGCAGGCCTGCCGGAACCCTACGCAAGGACGGATAATGGCGTTGCGTGTCTCCGCACTGACGCAGACGGAGAAGCATAAATCAGGCTTAACTCATGTCCACTAGTACAAGTGACATTTTCCTTGTCACATCCCTAGCTAGGAATATGCCTTTGCATTTGAAGCCAACCCTTGAGATTGTGACGCATGCCTTCGCGCTGACCAGGTCAAATGATTGCTGGGCTGGGGAAGGCCTCAGTGGTAAGGATGCAGTTGGGAGAAGGGTGTGGCTGCAGACCTGCAGACTGCAAATTCACGCTTCTACTGTTTTTGAGACAGGGCTGCTACGTTTCATAGCAATGCTGCAAGATTCCACTCCAGCATTAACATACACAAACCCTTCAGTTTCACAAGATTCAACCATTTTTGCATGAACGAGGTATTGCGTCAAAACAAAGTATCAAAGTGAGGCATTGGCTCTTTTAAAGTGTTCGCCCATGTGCAAAATAAATAAAACATGAGCAGTATAACAGCTCTAAAAAATATAAGAAATGACGCAATGGTAACTATTACGTAGCAACTGTCACTAACAAAACTGACCTTCGGCATTTCAGAATAACCACATCCAACCCAATAAGTGCTCATGAACAACCAGTCAGTAACCTTTTTATTAAGAACAAATGTAAACTTGAGTGATGAAAGACATAAATTCAATTGAAATATATTCGCTAACAGTGGAGCAGACTAGAACACTGAATCTCTAGGCTGACATGGAACTGTCCATGGTGATGAACCAAAGTGACCCATTCACCACAGCGGTTTGGTGCGCCTTGGTTGCGGTGCTTGCTGGCCGAGATGGTGCAGCTCACCCACTGTACCCTCAACATTCTCATGGTCTTCATGGAAGGGGGATGATGGGACAAGAGCATCTGAGAAGGGATCGGGCACCTCAGGGACAGATCGGTGAGAAACGCATGGGTCCTCATCAGCAGTTGTGGAGAACAGGCCGCATAAACTCAGCTTGTGGTCAGCTGAATCTTCCTCCAAAGCCGATTGTTGAATTAGACTACAGATGTATTTTAGGTTTTAATTATGATCAGTAAGATGTGATGATTCTATATAAATATAGAGTATCAACCTGACTGATCTTTGAACGTTTAACCAGAAGAATTAGGATTCTTTGTTTATTCAGGGATCGCAACACACTTCGTATTAATTCAGACAGTCAAGTTTATAACAAGTAAGAAATTTATTTTCTAAACGATTAAAAACACGACAACTGGGAAACTCTAAGTGACGAATGAATCTAAGTGGATGGAATGTGAGGCGTGATGATGTGTGAGTGTGATGTCATCAGAACCCTCGTATCAGAAGAAAATGAGTTCTGAGTGGGATTGAATTTGGTCAGCATTAAACTAGAAGGTTGATTTCTAATAAAACGGCATCAGACGCAATCTGTCGTGTCCACGTACCCTTTCGGAGGCCCCCGGGGTAGATCCGGAATGTGTTGAAGTCCGTGGACTCCAAGGCACCGTGGTCCGTAGGAGAAACCGCAGCACCACTAGACCGGTCTTCGGGTTGTCTTGAAAGCCACCTTTTCAATGATTTGGGGCAGAAAAGGGAGGAGAGAGATAGGTCGGTAGTTCTCCACATGATTTGGAGGAAGAGATGGTTTTTTAGCAGCGGTTTAACCTGAGCATGCTTGAGAGAGATGGGAAATGTACCGGATGCCAGTGAAGCATTGATCACATGTGTGACTGCTGCAGCTACTGTAGGAGCAATAGCTTGGAGCAGCTTAGTCGGAATGGGGTCCAGTGGGCATGTAGTAGGGCGGCTGCACGTGAGAAGCTTGGACACACAGTTCTCAGTGAGAGGGGGAAAATAGTAAAATGAAGCAGCAGGGCTTGAGATGGTTGGGCTAGAAGGAGTTTGTGGTAGCGAATGTTCAGGAGTGACCAGTTGAGTAAACTGTTTGCTTATAGCTGCCACTTGTGAAGAATGAGGCAAAGGTGTCAGCTGATAGATTGTTGGTAGGAGGTGGAGATGGAGGGTTGAGAAACGGCTCGTTCACAGCCCCTGATTGCACTTATTGATTTCAGTTGGCCCAGTCCGGAGCTACTAGACATCAGGATTACTCACAGAGGAGTTTCCTTCTCTTTCCCAGTGGAAGATGGTGCAAATCAAAAGTTTAAGAAGACAAAAACAAGCACTAACAGACGCTGGTACATGCCTACATTCACGTCAACCTCATGCACACATAAAGAAGAAGAAAAGATCTTTTCTATAGCGCCCCAAGATAAAAATCACGAGGTGCTTCAGAAAAACAAAAAATGTGAAATATAAAAAGAAATTAGAAAATGATTAAAAATATATTTAACATGAGCAACAAATAGACAATTATGATTTAAAATGTAAAGAAAGAGAGTCAACAGGAAAGAGGGAAATCAGTGGATCCTGAGGAAGGTGGAATTGGTAGAGAGAGCAGAACAAGGAGAGGATGATGAAGGTCACACAAAAGCCTGAACAGGTGAGTTTAAAGGAGACCACTGAGTCCACTGATCTCAGGCTCAGGGGGAGAGAGGTCCAGAGTCTGGGGACCACAGCAGCAAATGATCTGTCACCTTTGGTCTTTAGCCTGGTGCTGCACAACCAGTAGGCTTTGGTCACTGGACCTCAGGGACCTGCTGGGTCCCTAAAGCTTCCAATCACATTTGAGTCAGTTTGACACTTAAAGCAACAGAAAGACGGTCCGGAGCGCAGGGTGGGTGTTTTGCAAACCTGCAGGAAATATCAACTACAGTTATCCAGAAAGTCGTAAAGGGTTTCTGGAAAGGTTTCTAGGTTGTTCGCATAGTACTTTTAGTGATAAGAGTTAAAGAATGGGATCTGAAAGGTTAGAAATAGCGACAAAGTCACCAAGTTGACAACACTGTTGGGAGTTGCACTCGATTCACAACTCGGAATAAACCACGAGGGAGGAGCAAATGATTGGCTTATTTTTTTATTTTTTTATTTTTTTTAATCGTTCAAACCCAGATCATAAATGTGATTAAAATTTGATTAAATGAGCAGCCCTACTGTAAAGGTACTGTCCCGGTAAGAAAGGTGATCCTGTAAAGGTACTGTCCCGGTAAGAACAGTGACCCTGTAAAGGTACTGTCCCGGTAAGAAAGGTGATCCTGTAAAGGTACTGTCCCGGTAAGAACAGTGACCCTGTAAAGGTACTGTCCCGGTAAGAACAGTGACCCTGTAAAGGTACTGTCCCGGTAAGAAAGGTGACCCTGTAAAGGTACTGTCCCGGTAAGAAAGGTGGCCCTGTAAAGGTACTGTCCCTGTAAGAAAGGTGACCCTGTAAAGGTACTGTCCCGGTAAGAAAGGTGACCCTGTAAAGGTACTGTCCCGGTAAGAAAGGTGACCCTGTAAAGGTACTGTCCCGGTAAGAAAGGTGACCCTGTAAAGGTACTGTCCCGGTAAGAAAGGTGACCCTGTAAAGGTACTGTCCCGGTAAGAAATGTGACCCTGTAAAGGTACTGTCCCGTAACGGTACTCTCCCCGTAAGGGAAGTGGTGTGTCTGTAAAGTTGCTGTGCAGACATTCTTTCTTGTAATTCTTCAGACTGAATCATCATTTTTATCGAAGATGTTTCCAGTGATGGGCTGACTGTTATTTAAACTTCTCTCCAGGCATTGATCTCCATTACATCCACGTGAAGCCCAAGAAGGTCCCTGAGGGGACGAAAGCTGTTCCCTTGATAATGGTTCATGGTTGGCCCGGCTCCTTCTATGAGTTCTATGGAATGATCCCTCTCTTAACTGAAATGTCTGACTCGACAGACCTTGTGTTTGAGGTGGTGTGTCCCTCCATACCAGGCTATGGTTTCTCTGAGGCTCCACATAAGACAGGTGAGCCAGTAAGTTGGTATCAGCTCATTCTTGACCTCTATCTTCTGAAGAAATATCAGTAAATTATCAAAACAAAACTTGTGTTACTTCAGTAACTGTTTCCCTGTGGGAAGAAATACCTGTTTTTGTCAAGGGAAACGACAAAAACAAGCAGAAGAATCACCTCTATCTTCATCTGTTATAAAGCTGATCTGATTTGAGCTGCTTGATGTCGAACTGCACACTTGGGCAGGTTTTGATTCCGTTTGTGCTGCCCGCATTTTCCACAAGCTGATGAGACGTCTGGGCTACCAGCAGTTCTACGCTCACGGGGGAGACTGGGGCTGGTTGGTTACCTCCAACATGGCCCAGCTAGAGCCCAGGTACGACCCATACGTTTCTCTCAGAATGATAAAGGGGGTCAAACTAAGGTTACTCATTGGGTGCTTGGATTTAATGGTTTTCGTGATTGCTCGATCACCACATTAAGATGTCTCTCGTTGACTTGGCCTTTTCCTTTCCTCAGGATCATTAAAGGCCTGCATGTAAACTTTGCACCACCTTCCACACTTGGGCTGCCTTTGGCTTTATCCCTCATGTTTGGCTGGTGGTTTCCCAGGCTGTTTGGCTTCACTGACATGGACATTCAGCGCCTCTATCCTTGCATGGAGAAGCTGGTGAAGGAATCTGTCGCAGAGTCTGGCTACATGCACATCCAGGCCACCAAACCAGACACAGTTGGTAAGAACTGGGCCAGACGCTCCTCTAGGTTTCGACATGTATCTGGTATGAAAATGAACCAAATGTTTGGTGGTTTGGACCTCGTAAGGGGTCACAGTTTTCTTTGCTACTTTAACAAAACTTCATTTGAGAACTGGTTTTCACTCGGTTCTGCTTTCCATTCAGGTCGGGCGCTGAATGACTCCCCTGTGGGTCTGGCTGCCTACATCCTGGAAAAGTTCTCCACGTGGACCTGTCATGATTTCAGGGACTTGGAGGACGGGGGACTGACCAGGTGAAAAAGCAGGTTCAGGAGCTTCAGAAGACTCGGTGTTTTAGCAACTTTTGGAAGTTTGTCCTGGTTTGTTTTCTGACCAAAGCGATCACGTTTGATGCAGGAAGTTCACACTTGATGACCTGCTGACTAACGTGATGATTTACTGGACCTCTGGTTGCATCGTCTCGTCCATGAGGTTTTACAAGGAAAACTTTGGTAAAGGTCTGGACCAGCCCCACTCCAAGTGAGTGACACAGCAGACATTTAACTGTCTGAACATGTGGTGAGAGATGAGTCGGAGTATTTAGTTTGGCGCTCAATGCTTCTTTGGTGACATTTTTGAGAGGATTCTGTTGACGCAGTGTCTTCATTCTCTAATTCAGGATGCCGGTCCACGTCCCCACCGGCTTCGCCTGCTTCCCCAATGAGGTGATGCATTCGCCCAAACTGTGGGTCAAACAGAAATACCATAACCTGGTTGCCTTTTCGCCCATGGCTTGTGGAGGGCATTTTGCGGCGATGGAGGAGCCCCAGCTGATGGCAGAGGACTTACAGAAGTTTATAAAAACCATTGAGAAGAAAACAAAGCAGCCGTAGAGTTTGGTTTGGCTGCAAACCTATTTCCTGAGTTTGTAGGGTTTCGCAGTGGCGTGTTAGCCAGCGTTTTACCAGCTGATTGAGATGATGTTTCCTTTTTGAAAGCAGAAGTTGTTATTGGAGGCATCCTGCCACAGATCAGGAGCAGGCTTCAGACCACCAAAGGGAGACATTTGATCCAGTGTGGGAGATCCACGGTTCTGTCAGTCTCATAGTGTTAGGGGATTGTTTCTGATTGAAACAGTCGATGGTCTGTTCCTGCTGCAGAGGTAAAAACCACGAGTTTAAATATGTGTCCACATTTCAACCATGTCACAGTTTCTTAGAAAGCATTTAAAACAGGAAACACAGAAATATAATTCATTACTCGGATTGCATCATCACCTTAGCCGGTCAGTAGTGTGTAACGGCGCTCGCTGCGTTCAGACTTTAACGCGAGCATCAATATCAGACCGATGGTGGAATGTTCTCTTCTCTACGCAGGGCTACAGTGACTCAGAACCACCTGCATGGAGATTATGTTCCTGGGCCTTCACAACGCTGATTAACTAACTGCTGTGCGAAGGTGTATTGATACCTGAGCCTGTGTGGGAATCTGATCTGTCAACAACATAAAATCCACAATAAACGAATGATTGAATTAATTGAATTTATTTATTTATCTTTGAACCAATTTTCACCATCAGTCAAGGTGGTCTTTGTATCTGCGATCTCATTCTTTTGGTCACCAGCCAAAACTTGTGACCAAAGGTCGTCGTCGTCTTCCTCCGCTTATCCGGGTCGGGGTCACGGGGGCAGCATCCCAACTAGGGAGCTCCAGACCGTCCTCTCCCCGGCCACCTCCACCAGCTCCTCCGGCAGGACCCCAAGGCGTTCCCGGACCAGATTGGAGATGTAACCTCTCCAACGTGTCCTGGGTCGACCCGGGGGCCTCCTGCCGGCAGGACATGCCTGAAACACCTCCCCAGGGAGGTGTCCAGGAGGCATCCTGACCAGATGCCCAAACCACCTCAACTGGCTCCTTTCGATCCGGAGAAGCAGCGGTTCTACTCCGAGTCCCTCCCGAATGTCCGAGCTCCTCACCCTATCTCTAAGGCTGAGCCCGGCCACCCTACGGAGGAAACTCATTTCGGCCGCTTGTATCCGCGATCTCGTTCTTTCGGTCATTACCCAAAGCTCATGACCATAGGTGAGGATTGGGACGTAGATCGACCGGTAAATCGAGAGCCTGGCTTTCTGGCTCAGCTCCCTCTTCCCCACGACAGATCGGCTCAGCGTCCGCATCACTGCAGACGCCGAACCAATCCGCCTGTCGATCTCCCGATCCCTCCTACCCTCACTCGTGAACAAGACCCCGAGATACTTAAACTCCTCCACTTGAGGTAGGACCTCTCCCCCGACCCGGAGGTGGCAAGCCACCCTTTCCCGGTCGAGAACCATGGTCTCAGATTTGGAGGTGCTGATCCCTGGATTAACTAAAGTACCTAGTTTCATCATCAAATATTAAAGGTTCAATAATATTGATAATCCATCTTTTTATGGAATATTACATTTTATTGAAGACCTTTTATATTCTATAATTTATGAAAAGTACCTATTTACATGTTACAGGGTCCTCGCTTTGATGTATAGACGAGTACACACACACACACACACACACACACACACTCACATTCTAAACAAACATGCATCCAGCTGTTTCACAGCACTGAGTTTCTCAAGACCCCTTGCTCCCCTGACTAGGATGTGATCCCAGCACTGCTCTCCCCCAGGTCCGACTGCCTGACCCCCCCAGTACCGAGTGCCTGCCTACTTGACAGTCAAACAAGCAGGGGAGGATCAGGATGACCGGTCGGCAAAGATAAGGACAACATGAAGATCCCTGCATTACCTCACCCGATTAGGAAATGAGCGCTCGAGGGTGTGGGGGGTGTAGGACAGAAGGTGAGCATGGGAGGAACCGAGATGCAGCCGGTCTGCTGTTGAATCGGTTCCTGCAGAAGAACTGTAGAGACAAGGAATCCTCTCGGCTACAACAGGAAGTCTTCAACCAGAGCAGACCAGAAGAAAGGACATCAGGCTGTGGTTTCGGGCTTGAAGTTCTACTAGAAGGTTCATTCTGTTCTAACAGCTTCCTGTTCTCAGAAGGAAACATCAGCCATTAAT